GTTGTCTGAAGATCACGCACTACGATATTTTAAATGATTCTGAAACTTGAGAAAACAAAATTAAGAATCTGATCAACTGACGCGATTGGTCAAGCCGGCAATGGATCGAGTGATGTGCGTTGTTCGAGTATCGGGGACACTCTCAAGTCCCTGAAGGTTGAAGCTAGACGGATTGGACTTTCCGTCAACGCATCTAAGACAAAATACATGAAAGCAAGAGGTTCTAGGGAAGACTATTGTAGCCTTCCACCCCGAGTTCAGATTGACGCTGATGAAATCGAGGTGGTCGATGAACATTTAGGCTCACTGGTGACCGCCGAAAATGATACCAGCAGAGAAATTCAAAGACGCATTATGGCAGGGAATCGTGGCTACTTTGGACTCCAGAGGACGCTCCGGTCGAATAAAATTCGCCGCCGCACGAAGTTGACTATCTACAAGACACTGATTAGACCGGTGGTCCTCTACGACCACGAGATCTGGGCTATGCTCGTGGAGGACCAACGCGCCCTTGGTGTTTTCAAACGGTGGAGTACAGATGAATGACGGAACGTGGAGGAGGCAAATGAACCACGGAATGCACCAGCTGCTGGGAGAACCATCCATCCATCGTAAAAATTGGGCGGCTACGGTGGGCTGGGCACGTCGTTAGAATGCCACACGACGTGCCAGTGAAAATGGTTCTCGAAAGCGACTCAACAGGAACAAGAAGAAGAGGCTCGCAGCGGGCAAGATGGATCGACCAAGTCGAAGGCGACCTGCGGACCCTTCGCAGACTACGAGGCTGGCGAAGTGTGGCCATGGATCGAGTAGCGTGGAGACGACTTCTTCGGACAGCAGAGGACAACAAGGCCTTAGCGGGGGAGGTAGCTCATCGATTCTTCCGGTTCGCCTCCTAGCATCGTGCTATAAGGTATCAGGCGATAACCAGGGTAGTTGATCGATAGCTCGATGACGTCATTTCGTTGGCGTCTGCTATGGGAAATTCTCATAGCAGGCGTTGACGATGGGACGTTGTCGAGTTGTTGAATAGCAACTATCGTGCTAACTCACCGATTACCTGTCGATCTGCCAAATTTGGAAAGACGTCTGCATTGAATTGTCTCATATAATAATATTCCGCCCACTATAGCACACGAAATTGCGAGTAGTTGAGTGGAATGGAGATAAGTTAAGCATTGGGTACAGGACCAAGTCTCCCCTGGGTGGTGCCAGAAGATGAGCGCAATAGAATCATCAAGTTGCCATAAGGCACGGAATGAGACTATTGCATGGCTGGGTAGTCAAAGTCTTCCATTCGTTAGTCATTTCAGGTGGATTAGAACAGGTTTAGGTTTAGGGTGGGCGTTGGCCAGATTTGGATTTTTCAGATATAATCCTAAATAGGACCTAGATTATTTAATACACTAGTAACCTCAACTTCTGTCACAATGTTTCATTGTGACTAATCAACACTCAATGGGTAAAATATCAAATTTGCGGTAAATTTGAAAAAAAGGGAACTTGGAGTGTAGAGTGCACTGCCCACTGGACGATTCTGAAGCCTGACCAAGTGAGTGGGTTACGGGTTTATTTGATTGTACGTCATTTCCAAGTTATATATAGATACATTCATACCATTGGCATTTTGTATTTGAGATAAGACAGAGACAGGATGCGGAGGGCCCGCTTAGGGGGAGCGTAACCCATGTTATGGCTTCCATTTATTAAATAGTTCAGATAGGCTGGAAATGATAGGTTCATGGTGAGAAAATGTACCATATGGTGCCCGTTCACTGATCAAAATTAGATTCAAATCGTCAGGCCCTGCCCTGGAATAAGGGAATTGACGATGATTTGTCAAGTTTCATTTTGCATTTGCATATAATTGTAAGTTTAGGTTTGCTTTTGTAATTGTAAGATAGATAGTTTGCCTCAATTGAAACATTGAGTTAAACATGACGAATCATACCTCTAAAATAGTAGTAGTTACAGTGCCGCATTATCTAACTTTTGTTTTGTTTGTTTACATATAACTAATACTAATACCTCCTTGTTTTCTCTCTAATTTGTCTACTATGTCCCACCATCACGATGAGAGATGAGCTACCGTACATGGTACACGCACATATACACTCCCAAAATAGTATGCCGCAAGTAAGTATATCACAGAGGCAACTAAAGATCCTGAAACAAAAACCGAAAACGCTTTACGGCAGATTGGTTTACAGTGGTCGACCAGGGTGTGTGCGGATAAATTACAAAATTACAATTAGGGTAGATGTACCAGTTATGGCTGTGCGTTCCTGTTGTGGTGTGTTCCAATCATGGCCTATGGAAATCCTATATGCCATGATTGGAACACATCATAATAGGAGCGTATAGCCATAACTGGTACATCTACCCTACATCATTATTCCATACATCAGCTTGAATTACGTTGATCGATATTACATTTTTTTTGCTGTGCACTACACCACCGGAGCCAGCAAAGTTCAACAATCCATCGTTGCTTATGCCTTTGTTGTCGTTTGGAACCAGTTTTGCGAGGTAGGTGACGATTGTGCGTATTTCTCGCGTAAATTTTGAAAAGGGCCTAGCCTGAACAATACGTAAAGAGCAAATTGAAACATTGTACGTCGCGTGAATGTGGAACTTAATGAAGGCCTAAGTACTTTTTCGTAGTTTTTAGTTTTCGGATTTGAAAGATCGTCGGTTACAGTGGCCTGCTTACTGAGCAGAAAAACGCGGTCCCAGGTTCTTACATATCAAAGAGATTTATAGTAAAATCGCTTGTGTATCGTGTATTTTGCGAAACTCGTTGTTGTCGTTGGTTCCGGGTTTGAATGGATACAAAAATTTGAGCAACGGTATTATGTGATATGAGGGGCTCGGTGGCCTTAGGGCAACCGTTTTTGCTTACTGAGCAGAACATCATGAGTCTAATCTCAGGCCCATCCACAATCAAGATTCGTCAATCGTTTTATTTGTTAATATGACTACATGGTAATAACAGCAACTCGGTGATTAAAAAGGTGCTCGTCTGCCTAGTGGCAAACGTTTTTGCTTACTGAGCAGAAGACCGTGGGTTTAGTCCCAAGCTCCTTCGCGTTATATGATCGTTAGGACATTAATTCAGCTTATCGTTTACCAAAACGAACCCTGCTGCAAACCCAACCCTCTTATCCAACATCCCAGTGATTCCTCGTGGAAGTGCAGAGGTGTTCTCGGCTTCCATCAAAGCGAGTGTCATGTCAACACAATCCTTCCCATTCCTTTCTTGACCTGTGTTCGGGCGCGGCCGGCGCTGGTATTGCCTAATTCAAGATCACCAGTTTTTACACATTGAGGATGATTGCTAGTCCCAAGCATCGTCTATTGGTTCTCTGTGTAATTACAGCTGATCTGGCAATAACAGAGTAGCAACCGTGGGCGGTCAATCAAGCTCAAGCTCAAGCTCAAGCAGAGGACAACAAGGCCTTAGCCTGATTGGTAAATAAGTTAGGAAATCTACATTGTCTGAATCCTGGAAAACAACAATCTAGATCGTAACGCGCAGGTTACATGTTATGTAGTTTTGTAGCCGTTTTTTTCACGGCCGTATGTATTATCGATCAACGTAATTCAAGCTGATGTATGAACCCAACCAAAAGATGGTGTTAGTTTGCGTTTTGCTGAAGTTTTGTTCGCAATAGCTCATGTGCTCTTACCTGTTGTTGGTCGTGATTTGCTCGATTTGTTCCGCTATTTGACAGCTCAATTGGTTCCCACGATTGTATCCGCCAGACTATTAGCGAATTCGTTTATTATCGGGGTTGGAACCAGTTCCAACCCAGTGCGAAACCGAACTTTTTGTCAGTGCGAACCTCAACCTAAGCTAGGTTTTAAAAACAAATGAGCAAACTGACGTTCGTCAGAAAACAAGCAGTCCCAATCTTGATACCCGATCCAGGTTGGAACTTTTTTTTTTTTTTTTTTCTTTATTTAAGAGATTTTTAGCCTTAGGCTAGTTCATCTCTATTGCCAGGTTGGAACTGAATAATAAACGAATTCACTATATGAATATAACGACAATACTTCGCAGTACCCAGGAAAATACTATCCGACGCAGCGCTTGAAATCGGTTTCAATTCGCGTTTCCCGACTGTCGCAACCGCCGAAATTCGCGTCAAATGTTTTTCGTTTCGCTCACGAACCGAACATATAAAGTCTTTTCATCCATTTAATTCCACTACCTTATTTGCTTATCCTTGACAGATACGCGTATTTCGTCTACAATGTGCAGACTTCGACTAGTCGAGTATTAGTACAAGACACTGAAGAAGTCTGCACATTGCAGACGAAATACGCGTATCTGTCAAGGATAAGCAAAAAAGGTAGTGGAATTAAATGGAAATTACTAATCTTTCTCTCTCTCTCTCTCTCTTTATACAGGTATTCCACTAAGACGCCCACATTCATCAGGATTCTTTTCATCCACTAATCCGACATCCGACACGATCAGGACCAAAATGTTCTTCGAAGAAAAAGGAGAAAAGCAAGTGGAATGTAATTTAACCTTTATTTTCAATGAACTGAAAAACGCATCCTCACCGCACGAGAACTCTTACTTGTATGATTATTTTCCTCTTCCTAGTATCCTTTCTGTTTCCGCTCAAACTCTCCACAACTCCTAACAAAACTATCGTCTACACTGAAATTATACATTTATCGCGTCACCTTTTATATAGACCAATCTACATTGATCGATTCTCTTCATCGACTCTCTCTTTCGCTGCATTCATATTTCAGACTAATTTTTCTTCATAGTCTGTTAAAAGAAAGTATTGTTAAGCGTATTGGTGGATAAGAACAGCTGAACATGTTTTTGGAGTCTGGTTTTTAACGAAAGAGAGAGTCGATCAATGTAGATTGGTCTATTTGAAAAGTGACGCGAGATTTGTCGTTTCTTTTAGGGAAGGTCCATTAATTATGTCACGCAAATTTGGCCCCCTCCCCCCTTTGTCACATTTTTTGTATGCACCTTAAATTTTTTTGTATGGCTCGTCACAGTTTCCAAAACCCCCACTCCCCCCTAAAAGTGTGACATAATTAATGGACGATCCCTTAGTGTAACAAACATATTTCATCAAAAGTAGGGCAAGATGGGTCATCTACTAGATTTATTTATTGTTTGATTATTGTCAACATCATCAATAGCCTCAATGCTGAATTGAAAAAAGCAAACCATCATTATGATTGCATTGAATCTATTGATTTTGACGAACAAATAATTTAATAAATGTACTAGCTGACCCATCTTGCCCCAAATTACCCTAATATCTAATAAAAGTTTGGGGTTTTAAGGTGCAAGTATGTATACAAATTTATATACGTATTGCAATTGATCCAGAAAATTGGACTTTTTTACAAAAGTGAGCTGTACGTTGTGCATGATGGTATATTAAGACCGTATCTTTTCAATCCTATATTAAATACACGAAAAGTATGCCATACCAACGACCGAAATGCACGCCGGCAATTGCTTTACTTCGGTGCAATTTCCTTCATCGTTTCTTCCAGATAGTTGGCAATCAACGGATACACCACATCGTATTGGGATACGTTCTTCTGCCGAACAACAGTGCGATATTTCTGCAAAGCACCCGTTATTAATTCCAACCGATCGCGCTCGGACGAGTGGGATTCCAGCCATTGAATCAGCTTCTCATTGGACCAACCGGCGGTAGCGTGAGGACTGGCTAGCTCTGGTCCAGCGAAACCAAACAAGATGAATAGCACAATATAAGGCGGCACAACTCCTCCCGTTCCAGATGTATGCTGCACCAATTCCTCGGCCGAAACTGTTAGAAGTGACGATATTGCTCTCAGTAGTCGAAAACTTTTGCCCAATACTGCTAAATCCGGGACGATAGGCTTCAGTGCCAGCTCCAAGTGATGACAGTCGGCCTTGAGTCTCTGCCGACCGGTATTGGAAATTGGTCTCAGTATTGATACATTCTGCACAAAGAGTTCAATACATCGGGCAGCCAAGTGCTGGCCGCTTTCTTCAATGATAGGTTTGTCTGCAAATGGTGCAATATGCGAGTTCCACGACCGCACAAGAAAATCTTGTAGCTCCTTCATATAGAACGACGGACCAGCTGTCGAAATTGTAGCTGTATTTAAACCAGGCTCGCGGTGCATGCTCAGCAGAATTATATTTACAGCCGAGTGAATCGAGGCAATAAGTTGTTGCATTATTGCAAGGGTGATGGTGCGACCATCGTTGAGGCTCTTTTTCAACTTGGCCGCCGCTTCGGTGTTGGAAAATTTGGTCCCTAAATTTTGAATCAGCCGGCATATGGCCTCATGGTGGTAGTGCACAATATTCGCCAGTGTAATATTTTGTGATTGCGAAGCATTCGGATTGTCTGCAATATTCAAAAAAAAATTGGATACAAAGTCGCTTGTGAATAATTATAACGACTTACCTAACACCTGCTGTGTATCGCCACCTAGTTTCACATTCCGTTCGATTCTGTTCCACAAGTCCTGATTGGATACACAAATCACTTCCGTCACCTGCCGTGTCAATCGGTCGTCAACAACAGCCGCATTCAACTCCGTAGAAGCTACACGCACAACACTATCGATGACCTCTTGATTGGGGAAATCTATGTCGATTAGCACGGCTTTCAAATTGTTAGCACATTTTTCCAAATACCCTGCTTCCAATGCGATGAAGGTTTCGTCTCCAAAAACGAAAGCATTGTCGATTTTCTTTTCCAAGGCACGTGCTACGGAAAGCAACTTAGGAAGTCCCTGTTGAAGCGCCTGGTAAACATGTGGTTGGGCACCGATGAAAGATTCGATCAGTTGCTTTTCCAACTTATTCCAAAAGTCGTTGGTTATCATTTTGGCCATTGTGAGACAATCCTCCGCCAGAGGTAAGCCCAACAAACAACGTTGAAGAAATGCAATCTGTTGGCAGTAGCTGTAGAACTCATCCAGGAAAAGCCATTCTAATGCTTGCCACAACTTGGTTCGGAAATGAGTGGAACTGGTCAGTACGGGAGCCTTTCCGGGGCCTTTGGATTGAACGCGATCTAATTTTTCCCTGTTATTACTAACAACTGTATCCTGCACGCGCAATTTGCCCACATCTGATGCCGCATAGCATTCTTTAATGGAATCTAAAAAGTTACAAGAAAGAAAAAGAACCATAATTGTTATTCTCGTCCAGTTAGCTCCAAGTAAATGGTTTACCTCTAATATAGCGCTGATAAGTTTCAGAAATATTATCCAGACATTTTGCTAGTGTTTTCAGATTTAGAAAAATTCTCAAACAGTTCTTCGTTTCATCTTCCTTTGCATTTTGTATGCTTTGAAATAAATCCCTATTTGCAACCTGTAAAAAACGAATATTGATAAATTCTCAACTGTTCAACCAATTTACATTTTAGGTACTATTAGTAATAACCTTTATAAGGCGTGTCTTAACGGAGCTCATCGTGGAAATTTCCTCTTTCAGAAACTCTATTTGACTCAGATCAACATCCTCCATTACGCTTTCAAGTTCAAAAACAATCCGTGCTTGCTCCGGTAGCTCCGTAGCTTTATCCAGTGCTTTATAAATTTGAAGAAACCGTCCACTCTGCCGGAGCACATGGGAAGCCTCATGCAGTCGTCCAAGAATTTTAGTTTGCGTTTCCAGTTGCTCAAACGGTACGTTAATTTGCTTTTTCAACCTATCGGCGCTGTGCTGAAGCGAATCGATGTGACCAGAAATGGAACTGATGGCAGTGTTGAGCCGGCCTGCATGGTTCGCCTGTGACAACAGAGCTCCGTACTGGCCGCGAACCTGCGTTTGCAGGTGTGAGGAAACCTGCTCCAATCCATCCGACAATTTTGCAATTTGCTCCGTGATGGTCATAGTGGTGGAAAGATCCGTTTTCGCATCCTGTCTATCCTCCAAGAAAATGCGGAAAAATTCTGGAAAACAACAATAACATCACCACTGTATTAATATTTAAATTTAACTCACCATCATTCTGCAGGTCATCACAAATATCAGTTTCGATGTTTTCCATGATTCGGAGATGCTATTGTTAGTTGAATGATCTGTAAATTGCAAATATTGATGATAAAACACAAATTTTACAAAATTTAATGCCACGAAAAGAAAATAACACATACTGAACTGATGATTGGTAATGATGACGTTCGATTTTTTTCAGTTCTCTTCGTTCTCTTTAATCAATGCATTCACAACAGAAACAAAGATAAGCCATTGTTGAACTGTTGCACCTTCCATCGTATTGGACACTGTTCACGGTAACCGCAAAAACCCCAATAATGACTACAAAGTAAGCATTTTCGAGGGAAACTGGGACTACCCATTAAATTAGGAAAAATTTACCCATTTATGAGTAATTACAACTACAAAAACAAGTAGTAAGTATTCATTTTTGAATAACAAATACTCATAAATGGATAATATTTTTACTCATTAGTCTCCGTCGAAAATGCTTACTTTGTAGTCATTATTGGATATTTAGCGGCTACCGTGTTGGACAGAGTTTTGTTTGTTTTCACGCCAGTTCAAACTCCCAAATTTGGGTAAAGTCCACCCAGAACGGTAAAAACTGAACCTAACCAAAAATTGGTACACTTGGTTGGGAGAGACAAGTTGACAAATATAGACTACACTGACATGAATCCGATCGACGTTGTTCATTTGGCAACTTGTCACTCCCAACATAATTTACCCATTTTTGGGTTAGTTCAGTTTTTACCGATCCGCGTGGATTCGACCCAAATAAGGGTTGTTTTGAAATAGCGTGTTGAATGATTTTATAAGCATGTGTGCTTTTGACACTCTTTCAGCTCTGTCTGACTGTCAAATTGTGTTGTTGCATCATGTCGCTGTACGGACGTATTTTTCGTCGCTGGAATCATTTTGTAACGCTAAAACAGTACGAAAATGTTCAAGTGGCCAAAGGAAACCCGCAAAACCTGGTACAGAAAGTTACACCAGCATTAGGGGGGAAATTATTCGTGGCCTGGCACCCGGAACCAAAGTTTCCCTACAAGTATTCGAAGCCAATAGAAAGAACCCCAGTAGAGTCTGGTCCGTCACTAGTTCGCGATGAGCTGGTCCTTACCGGAGCCAAAAATCTGAAGGCCAAACATCCAGATATGGTGCGTCAGGAGCTTTCTAAGGTTACATTTACGACCAAGCACCGTTGGTTCCCCCGGGCACGTGATAAGAAAGCAAAGAAGACCCCCATGGATCGCGAGTATCTGTAGGTGTTTAGTTTTTATTATTTAGAATAAAGCACACAAATAGTGAATAAAGTTTTTCATTTTCCCTGACTCTTCCTTACTGATGCTAAGAGCTTCCATCAAAACAATAAAGCAAGCCCTTATCCCAGGATAATTATCTACCATGTTCATTCTGCTCTTCGCTTCTTCACCAACGAACCCAATAGATCCGAAATGGTTGGCATTGTGGCCTGGTCGAATGTTGTCTTGGCAGATGACGATGGTTGAACTTCTGTCGTTTCTTTAGCACTGTTCTTCAAATCCCGATGATGCGGAAAGGTAGGCATGAGCTTTGGATCGCACGGAAGTGGGGCTTCCTTAAAGTAACTGCTTTGAAGACACTCTTCGGCTGTAGCACGCTTCTTCGGGTCGTACATGAATAGAAAATTGAGCAACCGAAGTCCAGCTGAAGAAAGCCAGGCAAACTTCGGTTTAAGATTGTTGTACGGCTGAGATTTGAGTGTAAAATTCTGAACAGCTGGTAGAGATGAAAAGTCGGGCCAAATGGTTTCCGAAGGAGTTCCCAGCAAATCAATTATGAGCTCAATCTGAGAAATTTCGCTTAGTCCAGGCATGAGAGGCTTATGAGCAAGTAATTCTCCCAAAATGCATCCGGTTGCCCACATGTCTACTGCAGTTGTTTGTACCTTCGATCCAAACAGTAGCTCAGGAGGACGATACCAAAGAGTTACCAAACCAGGAGTCATTGGTTTATCTGAATCGCTCATATACCGAGCCAAACCAAAGTCTGCAATCTTCAAACAGCCTTTGTCTGTTAGTAGTAAATTTGAAACTTTTAAATCTCTATGGATAATGTAGTTTGCATGGAGGTACTTGAGTCCTTTCAGCAGCTGAATGACAATGCATTTGACTTGAGACTCGGAAAAAGGCGTCTCCATGTTATCCAAGAGAGAAGCCAAATCCTGCTCGCAAAATTCCATTACCAGAAATATGCTTTCCAAACTGTTGCCTACAACAACTTCCTTAAGTTTGACCACATTTTCGTGATTACAATTTTTCAAAATTTGAATCTCGCGCAATCCACTCACAGGGAATCCATCTTTGAACATTTCCTGGTCGATTCGTACCTTTTTGAGCGCTACAATCTCATTACACTTCGTATCCCTAGCACGAACTGGAAGAAAAGATTAGTTAATACATGGTTGTTGTTTTTGTTGTTGTTTGTATCTCTCACAAACGATTCCGTAAGTTCCTTCACCGACTCGGTTACATTTCTGGAAAGCCGAAACATACCGGCATCTGCCGAACTAAAATGGCATCCCTTTATTAAAATATCACTTGAAAACTATTCAAACTAAATTTTACGTACGACATCTTTAGTTGGAATTTCTATCAACTTTTTGGTGCGGAATGACATCAACGCTCCCTTCCGAACGATCGGTCCGACCGGGTCATTGCCGCCAACTCCTGTAATTCCTTTATCATGTTTACCATCATCTTCGGCTTTACGTTTTTCTGCAAAGCAAAGCATAACTATGATTAAAAATTGCCCTTAACGATGACGCTTCGCTCGAACAAACCTTTCGTCATTTTGCACTGAATTTTCTGCTATAATCGCAAAAACTGAACTGCAAATGAAATTATTTACTCCAGTCTAACAATGAAGGCGTGTGATTATTGTGATGACGATGAACGATGATGATGATGATGATGTTGCACGGAGATGAAAAACTACCCAAAATTAAGTAATTTGTAAATCGCGTACACAGCAAAAAAAAATGTGATATCGATCAACGTAATTCAAGCTGATGTATGAAATAATGATGTAATAGCAAAAAGCAGATACAATTTTACATCAATAGATGTAATTTTGTTCGAAAATTGATGTAAATCGTACAACGTAATATTACACAACCGGCGGAATAACCTCTGTGCAGCTGTTTGGATGTAATATTCAACAACTTTTTTTCTGTGCACAGAAAAAAAAGTTGTTGAATATTACATCCATACTGCTGCAACCAGACTTGGACACCGCTCGGTGCGGCTCGGTGGCAACCTACTCATGTATGCACAGCACTGGGTTTCTTCGATAAAGCACCCGGTGTCGGTGCAACATGTTGGCACGCCACCGAACCAAAAGAGAAACCCAAACGCAGTGCTACGGGCTTCGGCTCGGAGCCAACGTTGTTGGTGATGCGCTATACTCGGTCCCATTTGCGTTTTTGTCAAAACTGAGTTTTTCAATGGAAGTGGTAGCAAGTAGCTCATAGTTTAATTATACTCGATGAACTCAAGAAATTTGTTCTCAAATAGTTTAGAAAAATGGGCTAGTAGGTTTTCCCTTTACATAAGAATCCATGGTGCGAAGATAACTTAAAACGCGTTCTTAATTGCGTCCGTCATTTCTCTCGACAGGAACAGGGTCCGTTCGGATACGGATGTGTTGGCCATTTTCGAAATGTTGAAAATTATGAATAACCGGGTGAAGCAAAATGTCTAGATCAACCATAGAAAAGGGCCCATCAGCATTTGTAAACAAATTGTTCTAAAGCCTTTTCCTAACACAGCAAAGGCCGCCTACGCAAACCAACACCATCATCGGATTAGGGAAAGTTTCCCCTACATGATATGGCGTTGGTTTGCGTGGGTGGCCTTCGCTTAGTGAGGAAAGGTCTTTAGAACGGTTTGTTTACAAATGCTGAAGGGCCCTTTTCTATTGTTAATACAGAACTTCTTTGGTGCTCTGGTGCTAATTTTACCACTCATCATTCTCGTCTACGATTATGTTTGGTACATGTTGTGCCGCGCTGCGTAAACTACAGAAAGTTTTCTAAATAAGAGGTCAATCAGAAAAGGAACGAAAAAAATTAGCTGCAGGTAGACTGCGATAATGGAAACAAAGAAGAAGAAGCACGGTATTCTGTCTGGCACCGGACCCTGGCACGGAGCCACACGGAGCGCACCGAATAATCATAGCACGGCACCAAGCCGAATAAAACGGCTCCGCGTTCAGGTTTCTTGTTCGTATCGGTGGCGAGCCGACAAGAGGTACCGAAACCAAGTGCGTGTGAGCTTTGAACGGGGAGCAATATTATTGCACGGCTCGGAGTGCCGGTGGGTGTTTTTCCAAGTTTGGCTGCAACCAGGTCAATCCATCGGTTGTGTAATATAACGTTGTACGATGTACATCGATTTTGCGAACAAAATTACATCCATTGATATAATATTGTATCTGCTTTTTGCTATTACATCATTATTTCATACATCAGCTTGAATTACGTTGATCGATATTACATTTTTTTTGCTGTGTGGTTTATCCCAGAAACGATTTCCACGCTCCCAGATTTGTTTTCGAAAATCCACGAGCGCCTCATTTTATCTGTCAAACTTTCATGGGGAATCAAAAAAATTATAGTGTAGTACTGGAATTTAGAATGGACCTTACTGACTACCATAACCATTACCATTAAAGTTCTCAAACCATAAGTTAAAAGGTTCTAATATAGTTCTCTTTCCGAAAATGTATGGAGAAAACAAGAATTTGGAACGGTAATGGTTCTTAACAACCCATTATTTGTAAGGTTCAGTTCCACAAAACCATAATACATAAGGTTGAAACTTTATCATTAAACGTTCATGTAAAGTTCCATAACCATTTCAGTTAAAGTTTAGCAGGGATTATAAACAATTTTTAACCATTTTAGGTAAGGTCAATTTATGGTTCTCTTTTATGGGGAGCCTCAATAGAGATTAGTGACGTTTAACGCACGCGCACGTGCGAGTGCATCGCCGTGTAAAGCTATTTATTATTTTCCTTTGGGTAACCTAAAATATGTATGAAATTAGATCTGTCATAATGACAGTGATTTGTTGTGTATTTTCCGTATTTTCCTCGGATTTTCACTAACACGCTCATACATATAGCACCAATAATATTATAACCGGACGTGAAAATCTCATTGATTAATTTGATTTATTTTTGAGTGTACGTGCACTCGACGGTGCATTTCCCTTAATACTTATCCAAGCACCCCTCGTTTTGCTTGTAAACAAACGACACAAACACGTCGCCCACACGTAAAACGAGTCAAACAAAACTAGTAGTAATTGTTTTCCTAGCTTCCCTTATTTTTAATTGAAAATTTCAGTGAAAATGGAAGGCATAAACCTCTACAACCAGGCCTACACTGACGTGAGTATTGTTCGGAATCGTTTCTGCTAGGTATTTTATATTATACAGCTTTTCTTTCAATAGGCACTGATTAATAATGAACTGGAAACTGATCGGTGGAAATCATACCGCGCGGAACATGAGCAAGTTAAAGAAAATCTCCAAATGTATAGAAAACAACTGAAAGTTGATATTCTAATTCCGGTGGGATCCAAAGCTTTCATACCGGGTCAGTTGTATCACACTGGTGAAGTCATGGCTAGCCACGGTTGCGGTTACTTCTCAGACTGTTCAGCGGAGCAAGCGAATCAAATAATCGATCATCGCATATCTGCTGCGAATGAAGTGTTGCGGAAGTATGAAAAAGAGAAAGAAATGTTAACAAATAAGATGGAAGTTCCATTCGCGGAAGATGCTTTTGGTGGTAAAGAAATCATTGAAGAATATGATGAAGTTCGGGAAGAAATCTGGCGCAAAGAACACCGGATTCGAACCAGGCAATTAAAGTTACATGAGGCCGATGAACGCCGGAAGTACCGCGTATCGGAGTCAGATCAAGACATTCTAGATCGACTGAAAGATCTAGAGTTGATGGAAGAACTTGAACAAGAAATTGACAATTTGGAGATATCTGTCGGAACCGACGAACAGTTGCGTAAATTAATGAGTGGAGAACTAAAGTTGCCCGAAAAAACAAGAGTAGCTCATAATATAGGTGTAAAAGTTGGTGAAACTGTGTCAATGGTGAACATTGACGAAGAAGCTGAAAGTGGTCAGTTTGAAGTCGAAACAACCGACGAAGATAGTTCGGAGGATTCAGATGATTCTGATGCAGATGTAACGGCCGAATTCCTTAAGCTATTGCAAGACACAAAATCGATGAACAAGAAAGATAAAATTCAAGCATTTAAAAACAAGCTGAATGAAACTAGTTCCCGGCTCCGGAATGATGCCATTTCCGTAGGAGAAAAAGTAGATTTGTGTGGTTTGCGATATGAAGTTGAAGAAGCACTCGACTTTCTGAATCCTGCTTGGGAAAACACAACTGTGGAAGCAAAGAAAAGTGATGTTTCTAAGAAAACCAAATCTATTAAATTTGCCGATGCTGACATTATCAAGATTATCGATGATCACGAAGATGATGCAAAAGTCAGTGCAAATTATGTGGAAGATTCTAATAAAACATTGGAACTGAAAATTATTCACTCACCGGAATCTCCCGTGGCACAACATTCGACTAACGGCGATGATGTCGGAAGTCCTGCCGATATTTACCGTTTGTTTGAACATTGTTTGTACAAAAATGAGCCTGTAGTAACACCGGTGGAGAAAAAGTCAATCCTTAAGAATCGAGATATGGTACTAGCGGAAACTCACCTCATCGAAACTCAGCCAGTATTGAGAAAACCACGTCAGAAACCGGACGTTATGCCCATAGATGTAAGTATTGCTTATCTTTTAGCTAGCTTCACCACCTAAGCTGTATCGTTTTCTGTAGATTGTTGGTGATGTCGTGGAACACAAAACCGAAAGTGATTCGAAAACCTCTGCGATCATATCAATCAAACCAGGACAAAAGAAGGTCAGTCGATTCCGACAACAGAGGCAGTGAGGATCTATGAAATCCTGGTAAGTGGATTTTAATCTGTAATTATAAATAAAATTGTTATTTGATAGAAACATCGGCTCGTGAAAATGTTCCGAAATTCCATTGTACAGTTACAATTAATGGGGGTTTGAATAACGAGTGTAATCTGTTGGCGTTGATCAACTAGATATCATTAGTTTCAAATACCCTTTCAAGTTATTTGAACGTTATGAATTAACTGTGGTAGAACACACGGTGTATTCAATTAATTCGAGCCCAAGTCGTTCATTTCCAGTTTATGACGAAGTTCCAGATCCAATCTCAATCATTAACGTGCTACATGTTACAATTTGTAACATTAGTACGGTGTGATTTACATTCGAATACTTTTTTTTTAGAGTGAGATAGGCATGACGATTCATGTAATATAACCCAAGCGTTTACGTTCGCTGTTCTGAGTGTGAGCAAAAGTAAAAGAATAACTCGACCGGAAAGGATATTGTAGAACAATGAAACCAGGTGCATTAACATTCAGTTATGCAGATGCCTATTTGGGTCTACTCCGTTTGGCGTAATACTTGAAAAATCCGTAACTTTACGATATTTAAAATACTGTGTGACACATTATATGAATAAACTGATTTAAAATTAGTTCAATATTCTGATAAACAAGGGAATATTTCTTTTTTTAAGTTCTTTAAGGCTGTGAACCATTTGGCGAGTTAATTTTAACTCGTGGTTAAAAGTGACATTTCGAAAGTTATTCTCTATGTTCGAAAATCCCTGTGCTGTCGATCGACCGGTTTTTGAGAAGAACTTAGCCACGGTTATCAAAATTTAACTGTATGTCTGTTAGAAATAACCACGCTCGGATAGCAGGGTTAGTCGATAACTTTCCATCTGTCAAATTTTAGCCAATAGTATTAAAAAAAAATCACCAAATGGTTCAGAGCCTAAGTAGTTTAATAATGAAGAGAACATTTCGTATTTAACTATAGTAGGGAATATTTCTTTCTTTTGATACTTTTATAAAGAGAATGTTTCCATCTTTGAATACTTTAATTAAATCAATAAATAATGGGACATGAAGAATATTGGCGAAAATAGCAAATATTAATATTGAGATAACAAAAATAGGTGAAATTTACTGTTATTGTTGTACAATACTAAAATCGAGACAAAAATAATACTTTTTTACGGCATTATGCCAAACGGGATAGACCCACCTATTTAGCCTATAGCTATACCGTTTGCCATCACTTCAAAATGCTCAAGAAAGCAGTCAGTCGATTCAAAAATAAAGTGACGTGAGGAATTTGTTTGTACCGATGCTTTTGTTGTGTGCAAATTATGTCATCAGTGACGTAAGGATTTACATGAATTGGGTTCTTTAATGTAAAAAAAATATATGCATAGTTTTCCCCTCCCTCTTTCGGATTGAACATGAGACCAGTCACCCTGTATTAGTTGTTCGAAGTTCTGTAAACCATTACCGTAGTCGTTTACAAGGAGATGTCCGTACACATTCTTAGAGTTTAAATTACCTGCTTTCCCCTGTTTAGGCAATCGTTTATTCCTCTTGCTAGATGAATGCAAAACACCGCCAGGCTAAAGTTTCTACGTTCATGGATAGCCTCAAAGTCGAAGGCATGATAATACACTGGGTAATAAAGTTAAGTTCGGATGATAATAAGAGTTACATTTCGAAGCACAATAGTTTAGCGTTTATTCAACGTTTTGCGGAACAGTTGGTAATGCATAATTTATGCATTCTCCTTACGGATCAACTCTGACGTCGCTGGTCTACTCAATTCATCAGGTTACAGTATAGTCATTTTTATTCAAATAGCATTTTCAATAATGTTTGTTTTCTTTAGTTACTGAAAAAAAACGAAACATACTTTTTTTTTATTGTTTTGCGATTACTTGCAATGCATTTATATTTAAAAAAATAATAACTAATGTATATGAAGAAAAACATAAATAGAAATTATTATCACATGTCATTAGCTCAATGCGGACCAGACTCGCTGTCCCAGTTCTGTTTTTTTTTCACCTAATAAATAATTCATCATTCACTAGTGCATGATAAACTATCAAATACATCTTAATACGACCATTACTAGCGGTGTTGACCCTCTCATGCCGAAACAGCAGCATTTCTGATTACGACCACTGCAGCTTTTTTGTTTTAAATTCAAACTGCTGTGCAATGCCTACACTATCGTTATTTTTCCATGGAAAAACGTCTTATCAGGAAAGGGTTCTAAATCGTGTTTCTGTAATGCAAAATATACATACTTCTTTCAAATAATTATTAAAGACAAAAGGAAAGAGAGACATGACAACTTAAAATTAATACCAAGTCCTGCCATTTCAAGCTAAATTCTACGGTTGCGTTTGTGTAGTTTGTAATGTTTAATTTGATTTGTTATTTTGTTTCCAATCAATGATTAATGGGCTTTAGCATATATCAGCATGAAAAGCTAGAAGTATATCTTTGATAACATTTATTCTTACCCACGTGATTTTTGATAGATACCAATACGAGGTTAAAAGTATTCTTCTCTTTGGGAAAAATAAGAGAGGATCTAATTTTCCGGAATAGTTGGCAGGACCTGCTGTACCAATGTGCTAGTAGGAGTCACTTTTTCCGATAAAAGCGTAACCGGTGTAGAACTGCCGCTTCCGCTTTGTGGGCTGCTAGACAGATCGAAGCTCAAGTCAATGTCCGGTACTGGATCCCGCCAGTAGTTGAAACTGGTGAACTCGCTATCTTCTTCTTCGATGTGTTTGATGGGCGGAAATAGTTGGTCCACTATGTATGCCATATTTGCGTAACTGCAACAAATGCAAAATAAAAATATTGTAATTAACATTGTGTAAATGTCAATTATAAGCAAATGAGCAATGATAAGCGATTGACAGAATATAATGCAAACCAATTGCGCTAATAACTAGCTTTTGTAATGATGCCAATGTGTCACGCTATTTTTGGAAACGTTATGCCAAATATACAGACTAGCTTAAATTTTCCATACAAATAACCAATGTAGTACTGATTGAATTTCAATGATGTTGTTATTCAATGAACATGATAGAAGGTTTTGTTATATAACTGATGCATGAAAACCATATTACGCGAACCCAGTGAAGTTTACAAACGTGTTAATAAAGTACGACCGTTGATAATGATGAAAAACTAGATTCAATATATTTGCTTACCCGCAGCAAATTGACGACAGAAACAATAATAGAAAAGCTAATATAAACCCATATACAAGCTTAGAATTGCTAAGCATTATACCAATCTTGTTGACTAGCGTTATGGTGTATATGTTGGACATTGGCATCCAATGAAGGATACCGATTAGCCAATGCTACGGTTGTTTAAAATTGCAATTTCATCTACTGCCTTAAAATCAGTCTTTTCACTTTGGCCTTATCCGTTGCCCGTGGTGATCTAGTACTCAATATCACATCGAAACTGCAATTCCACTTGGTCACACTCATTGCAGTGACCACTTGAACGACGCCTGAATTTAGGTTTTTTACTAATGCAGCGTTGCCTGGGACAGGTACGATCAAAATCGCCTTCATCAAAGCAGCTATCCGCTTCGTCGTCAGATTGACCGTAGTCTGAGTGCTCAGACTCTGATGAGAACTCTATGGGCGGAAATATATCATTGACTACCAATGATTGCCCGGCATAGCTGTGTAGGTTGCATTTTTACAATAGTTTCGTTTGTTGAAGCATTTCAGTAGTTTAAAAACGGAAAATAATAAGAAAAACGGAAACAAATTAGAACTAAGTAAACACTTACAAACTAAATAGGTTGATGGATTAGTAACCGTTCATTTATGGGTTTGTACAAAATGTGCTGGTGAAGTGTTGTACCGTGAAATAGACGACAGTTTTCTTTGTTACAAATGTAAACCCGTATGACAGAGGAAGCTGCGAGGCATTTAAACACACTGGTAACGTTCCACACTGACGTCACACACCATTACAGTGTTACTGTGTTGTATTCTGTGTACCAAATGAGTTGCTCACGATACTTACGTAGATTGGAATGTTTGCGTCAATTCATGCTTCAGTTCGCCCTTTGTGTTGATGGTGAAAATGCGAGAGATGGGTATTCCAACCGCACGATATGCCCAGACATCCTGTGAAATATGGAGGAAACATGATAGTAACTACTACTTACTACGAGCAGGGGTAAATTAAGCACTGCGCGAACTTACGTTTATTCTATTACCGTACCCGGCGTAGAAGGGATTCTTATCCGGGAACAGTGCCTGTATGTCGCTTAGGCAAGCAATTTTAAACTGTTCCGGTTTCTTCTCGATTACCTCCCGATGGAAGGCGGACATTAACGAGGTGGGATTAAGCAGTAGCGGACCGTCGGGTAATTTTACATCACCCTGCCGAATCGATTGCAGATAATCTCTGGTGGTCTACGGGTTACAAGAAAAAACGGCGTATACTATCGTTATACTATCTTTATTAAAACATTTACCTTACCTTTGCTTGACCAATGGCTCGTGCAGAGAGATAGAGCATTTTGTAACCATTTTCTTCAATTTTCGAAAACAACTGGGCAACGCCTATCTGCTCCCAATTTTTACCAACCATGGGCAGAATGTGACCAAGGACATCAGACCTGCGAATCAAATTATGGTTAGTTATTTTCGAAGATTTGAGACGAGAAACAGGATAACTTACTTTGTAATGGTTCCATCGATATCGGAGATTACGACTTTGTCGCTGTATTTCCACTTAAACAAGTAGCACTTGCAACGGGTGGTTCCTTGATATGCAGTAGTTACGCTGAATACAATTTCATTCATTCCATTGTTAAGATTCAAACTTTCGATTTGTTCGGACGACAGACGTAACGTTTTTCGATATTTTTCCACAAAGCTGTCTGATTTGTTTAGTACGAGCTCATGGCGAATGGACTGATCTGTTGGAAGTTCAGAGTCTTCTGAACTCTGGGAACCATTATAACCGTCTTCTTTGGTTTTACTGAGGCTTTCCGTCATTGTGCCCACATCATCCGGTGTATTGGAACGAGAAGTCTGAGTTGCTATTACGGAGGTTTTCGATTGCTGTTCAGGTTCGTTGTCAGTTTTCATAGTTGATTTGTCATTTGACCTGCGCCAATACCACCAGCGGCCTCCGCGATTGACCTCAGATGTTTGCTGAACCTGTTGCTTGTTGGATTGTGTGTCTATTTCGACGGAACCTTCCGTAGCCATGTCCATTAATTTAGCCTTTGGAGCTTCGACCTGTTCACTGGGTAGAGTTTTTTGGAATGCTAACATGGTCATGACTTGAGGGCAAGCAACTTGCCATGAACAATATTTATCATTGATGCGTACTACCAAATCCGGCGAAGCGAATATGGCCGGATTGTTACACACATCTGAATAGTTGAGGCGATGTTTTTCAAAATCTTCGTAGGAAGGTGTTCCATTATTGGAAAAACCACCACATAGTGAAAGGCCGATTAAATCCAACGAAAGTTTGTCCTTGTTGTCGTCAAAGTCAGAATCGAGGCTTTTGATACCCTCCAACGATGTTGGACTATGTGGTAGAGATGTTCCATTGCCGCTTTCTCTGTCCTCTTCAGTTTGTGCTTGCTGTGCTTTCGAAGAAACAGGTGGAAAATAGAGGGCAGCAACCTCTGGATCAAGGGATTCATCCAAATCCGAAAGGTACAAACCATCAGGAACATTTTTCCGTAGTTTCTTATTATTATATTTCATAAAACTCATCAAACCACTGAGCATCGAGTTACGCTGAGCCTGTTTACCCTGAGAAGTACTCAGATCTTCATTTTCTTCCGGTTTGGTTGGAAGTTCTCCCCATTTCCATGAAGCGGACATGTTATCGGCTTCAATATTCTCACGTTGGGAAAACTCAAACTCAGTGTCACTTTGAACCGGAGTTGATGGCCGAGACTGGCGTGGACTAGTTCCTGTGGTGATTTCTGTGTCGCTGAAGAAATGAATATCCAGCTCATGACTGCGAGCTGATGGTTCTGAGATCCCCTTTGGAATATTTTCCACTGCTGTTTGGGTTTCGGGCACACTGTCCTTAGGAGATCCACTCGCTGACGATGCAGTAAGCTGAGAAGCTGTAATACTATCCGTTTCAACTCCATCGTTTTGATCCGAATGATTCGACCCAGCAGAACTGCTGGACGAATTCTTCCGTTGCGAGTTCTTCTTCTTCATTATAGACTTCTTCCTGCGCTTCTTTTTCGATTTAGAATCTACATTGGCCTTGTCTTCCAATGACGGGGCTTGTTGGTCTTCTTGCGCAATTGGCTCCGAAAAAGTTGGTTTCGATTCCGTAGAGGTAGGGGCAGCTTCGATGGGTTTGAAATGTGTTTCCTGATCATTGTTTATTGGAAGTAGTGTGCTGTTTTGCCAATTGGAACCTGGGCTGTCTATGCCTTCCATTTGGAAGATTTGTTCCTGTTCTGCTTCTGCCCACTCTTGACGAATCTTTTGCGTAGTATATTCTTTCTTTGTTAGGCTCAAATTTGGCCTACCTGTAGTATTATCTGTGTGCCTGCGATGACTGAAATCCGATTTTTGGTTTTCAAATTTGGACATTTCTGACTCTGTATTTTCCTTTGATAAATCGATCGAATTACGCCTGGGCCTTGGAATATTTTCGTCGTCTAATGGTTTGCCAACGGTCATAATAGAATTTTCATAATTAGCGTTAAACGAACTAGTGGGAATTGGTGACGTGGCCATATGAGCTGGAACTTCGCCATCATCTTCGAGACATCCTTCGACGAAAAATGCTTCACCCGATTCACCAAGTTTCATATGGATGTCAACTGGTTCCCCGTTGATTTCAATGTCGACAATCTTCTCGCGACTTCGTAGCACTCCAAGCTTACCGAAGCGCACGTGAAACGGTGAACACATAAACGATCCATCTGGCTGCTCTACTATAATTACATCTATAGCCCCTGTCAGCGTAGCACCATTGATTTCACTATAAAATTCACGGAAATTGCTAAACACTCGCACAATGCTATTCATGTTGGATTTAATGTCTTGTAGACTATATCACACGGGTCTTTATTCTGAATAACTACGTTGATCAATGTCACTTAAACGAGTTCAATTGAGGTGTTTAGTGCACTGTGAGCCTGAAATTTAGAGAGAGAAAAACGAGGAGAAAAAAATTAATGCTGGAAATTTTGCCTGTATATAAACAGTACTTTAAATCAATTGCACTTTCAGAAATGTTATAGCAAGTGTGTGGTAGAACGGCTCTGTACGATATACTTTAGTTTACGGCACATGTTTGCTGTTGAACGCTGATGAGGAATAATTTCCACAAGCTCCCTACTCACGTTATCATGCACTGCCTGGTTCTGGTGTGTAGACAGTCGCATAAACAATACCAGTATAGATTAGTAGAACATGACTGTGCAAATCATTCACTCAAACCACTCGTATATCACTTCTCCCAGCGATAATGCATTAAGATGTTAAAATGTTTACATAACACACCAGTATGTTTGTCTTGGAGTTTGACCTTTGATAAAAGAACGAAATCAGAAGCATACAATTTGATAAAAGTTATCTCTCCATGACGTGGGTAATTGATTTAAACTTACATATGCACGATAAATGAAACGTCGTCCAACGAACGAAATAAACCAGCAAAATCATTCACACAGAATAACGTGAATAACGTCTGTAGCACACTACCGTTCCTTACATTATTATTATTATTTATCGCAGGAAGCAGTCATCTAATAGGGGAGCACTTTAGTTCTTCTTTAACCGGTATGTGTTGCGCGCGGTTAAGGAAACAAATAAAAAAGAAAGAAATCACGAAAATGTTGCTCACTGTATTCTTCCGCTAGTGCTGACAATTTTTGTTGTTTAGCATTCTGTGTAACGGTGGTCCGGGTCTTTTTTTTTTGTTACTTTTCACCTTTTAATTTTTTAAAAATCAATATATGCTTATTTTAATTCCGTAGTTGATTGAATCAATCCTCAATAGGATCTCACAAACCGTACGAAGCGTAGTTTACCAAAATTGTCAATAGAGTAGATGAGGAGATGTTGGCAAAAGTCAACGTGTTTTTGAAATCTATAAATAGGTTGATTTGAAAATGTGTTCTCAAAAAATATCACGTGCATCGTTTTGACTCATTAAACCATTTTTAGTTTTTTTTTCAACTCGTTTATAATTAAGTAGCTTTATACGTACACACGAATTGTCTCTTTTTTGCATTTCTTCTTGTGCCTTGTTGCTTAGACGTGCTAAAATTGAAGGTAGACTACTACAAGTTCGGTTTCTGTTCACTTCGCGCTACCGTCTCAATTCACTTGCGTTCCGTAAGACGTTTACCGGCTAACTGAGCCTAGGCAAACCATCTTCTAGCAGCGCGATTGCAATGAGTATAAATTATTATTAAACCACTGTTCATATGTATGTGTATGATGAAGGAAGAAAATTTCCGAATGTAGGTACCGTAATACGGGGTCAAATTGATCATTATGGGTTGGGTTTTTAGTTGTTACGTAGAACATTTTCGGTGATAGATAACTGACTGACATAACTGCCGTTCAATATGAGCATACAATCAAATGGTCATAGGGTTTGAACGATTGTTGTCATTGACTTGAAAGTGATATATAACATTAAACTAAGTGTCAATTAATTTGAATTATTTAAAAAGAATAAAAAAAATATTGAGAATTTAATGAGACATTGCCTACATTTAGGCGCACTATGAAATTTAAGACATCTTTTTCGTAATTTCTACAGAAAATACACTTTTTACAAGGATTATTGCATCTGATCCACCCAGGGAACCCACATTTAATAAGAACACATATACATTTACTTAAAAAATATCCAACAAATGAAACAAAAGAACACTCAATATGATAAGTAATCATGCAGAACAATGAAGACCCCGTAGCTGCTGCATTATTTTGTCAATATTGTTTAATGTAGAATTTTATATATATATTTACATTATACAGTGATCAATTTGCTCCCGGATTACGGTACGAGGTACATACAACGAGCACCATCTCTTCCGACAACTTACGCCGACATTCGACGATTAGTATGCTACGCAGGCCACTTTCAATCGTTTATTCGTATGTTTTTGCAAACAGAATAAAAACAACAGTCGAGAGAAACGGAAGGAACGTTAAACTTTAAAAATAAATCTGCGCGCCTAATGCGATCCTCAAGGTGATTTTTGTTATCTGTATTCGCAAAATTATCTATTATAATGAATATTACTTATGTACCTACCGTCCGAAAAGTTCAACCTATCTTAATCAATTTTAAATTACCATTGAACAAACGGCAATATCTGATTAGATAGTACATACTGTTGTTGTTCGGAATAACGGGAACGAAACGTTAGTAAACAACATCTCATCTGCAGGTCCAACACATATCCATTTCACGTTCCCACAATGTGCGAGACAGTAGACCTTGAGCGTGTTGCTCTTTCTACGGTGTGAATGCTTATTATCTAAATCTACTACGCAGAATTCATACGAATGCTGCAAAGGAAGAGATGAATAAGCAAAAGCAGCGTAAGGGGCTTGTTTTGATCAGACACACTGAATTAGATATTCAATGTTCGCTTTGGGCTGTCTACTTTTTCGCATCATTACCATAGAGAGCCGAAGACTGGTTCGTCTCCCCTGGGTAATTTTCTCTATTTACCGGTTGTTCTGTTTCAAGTAATTGTTAGAAGGGTACAAAGCCCAGTTTTTATAACAATGGTTTTCCGTTTATATATTGAATACCGTTATCTTCAAATAATTTCATATACAAATTAGGCATGACATAAAAATTCATTGTATCTATTTTAAGATGGAACAAATCATAAATGTTATTTTCATAGCTTTAACACAATTTTCTTCAAAATTGTCTTCTGCATTTTCTTGGACATTTTATCCGAATACGTTTGCAAATATCCTTTTAATAGCATGCTAGGATTTCCCTAGAGATCATTTCAGAGGGTTTTTCTTAGGTTCATTATTTTGTAGAACACTCAACAAAACTTATCAATAAAAAAAAAAACAAAAATTGGAATTTATATAACATATTTTTCTTTTCATTTTCGAGGAATATTCATTAGAGTTTCATGCTAAATGCTTTAAATGTATCTTGGATATATTCGAATTTTCTAGAAATTAACCTTGGAAAATGTTAACTACGTCTTTTACCCCTTCTGCAACCCTTCCGGATTTTTATCAGCAACATTAAAATGTTCAAACACTAATTTCTTTTTATTACGAACCAACACATTTTTTTTCTTTATTAAAGAGATTTTTAGCCATAGGCTAGTTCATCTCTTAGAACTAACACATGTCAAACAGCACGCACAGCCAAGTCACGTTTATCGTATTTGAAATCAATTGGCATTGATACTTTGTTAATTGGAAAACATATAAATTATTCAATCGGAGATGAACTAGCCATAGGCTAAAAATCTCCTTAATAAAGAAATTAAAAAAAATATGTATATATATATATATATATATATATAATATATCTAAATTGTCCCATTGTAGATCACGATTATTATTTTTATTAGTAGTTTCAAAATTCTCCTTGCATTTGAAACAATTGAAGCATACCTAATCAAAAACAACTAAAATTAAAAGCATTTCATGCAAGTTCCCTTAAAAATATTCTTGCACATATTTCCATAATCTTGATATCTCGATTTTTAAATCATGTTCCGAAAATTTTCATTTACTTAGGAAAATTTCCATACAAAACATAATTTTACACCTTGCTAGAAATTATATGGAGAGTTAGTATATTCAGAAAAGTTGTAGAAAATATTATCAGAAGCAACTTTACCCGGGACGCTATCTATCATTATATCTATTTGCAAAGGTATACTCACAAGAAGTTGTTTAATTTCTCTCCAAATATTGTGTACAAAATACGCTATGGAAATCTGCAAGTTCCTAAGAATTGACATGGAATTCACTCAAAAATTGTTCTGAAATCTTACTCAGAATTGTCTTGGAAATCTACTAAAATTTCCCTAGAGGTTCTGCCAAGGGGCGTTTCAAATATGACATCCACATGTTTATCGAATTTCGTAACCCCCTCTGTGTCACGCTTTTCTCAAACCTGTACTGTCACAAATTCTAGGACGCCTCCACCCCCTCAAGAGTGGACGTCATAATTGAATCGCCCTCAACATTACCTTCGAATATGTGATTAAAGATTTTCTGGAACACTCTTCCCTATATATGAAGTTAACGATTTACATAGTTGAAGATGCTAATTGATACCCCTCACCATCCCTCTCCAACGGCGGAGTTTGGTAAAGAGAGATGATCAAACCGTTTTGTACCTTCCTAAAATGTTGTCCTTACTCGCTTTCTACTCTCTATATACAATTTTCACACTGCCGTACTCTAACGGAACTATCAACTCTATACTTTCATCTCCTCATCTATTGTATACAAATTACCACTTTAGTCTGTTATATGAAATTAGCATCTTCAACAAATTTTTAACCATTTTCGGTAAGGTCCAGTTATCTTTCGTGTTTATGCGGGTACTCCTGTACCATTTTCGCATTAGTATTATTGCGTGGCAAGTACAATCATATCATACTGTTCAAAAACTCGGTAAAATTTTACGGACTTCGGTGATCTGAATTCAGTGTGTAGGCTTAGAAAAATAGTTACTCACATGGAAGTGCTGAAAAAACATTAATTTGTTGAAGCCAGCAAATTTAAAAAGTTTGAATGACTGTCGACGAGAGGGATCTAATAAAAGAATGTAAACGCAATCTCTACTTTTTGTGCCAGCAAAAGCAGTATATAAGTTGTTTACTTCATCTAGCCAGACTAAGGATGGAAATCTAGGTATATACCCTAGACAAAAACAACTTGCAACAAGATCTAGGCACGACGAGTTGCAACACCGAAACTGAAAACAAATCTATTCGTACGTGTATGTACGTGCCTCCACCAAACTAGCCAATCAGAAACCACATAAAATCGCGCCATCACCATCGTCGTCATAGCACAACGCAGTGGCGCTGGTGACTAGTGATGGTAAGCAGACAACATTTCTCGTTTATTCAGTACCTCCTTTGGTTCGCTTCCGCATAAATAAATGATACGACGCAGTATAAAGCATGCGTTTTTCAATCGATTAACCATACGGCTATGACGTCAATAAGGGGATTGCTAGAAGCCTATTTATGTCAGTACTACGAATAGTACACAATGAAATATTTCTATATGAAAATATCCGAAACCCATTGCTTGACATGCATCTGGGTTTTCAGATATTTATTTATTTATTTATTTATTTATTTCCTGCATCCTAAACAATCTGGACTCCTTAGAGCGGGGAGGTGTTTGGCACGTGTCTACGGCGCTTAAAAAAAGTATGAACCATTGTCTAAGCTGGAGGAGGGGGAATTTAAAACCCCAAAAACTTTAAAATATCTTTCTTACCTCTTATTCGAGGATTTGTTAAGGAACATTGCTAGTTTAATGTCTCAACCACCAATGCTGAATGATAAATCCACGTACGTTATGAATACAAGGACTACATAAAATCAAATATATTAAATTAACAATATGATCCATTCATGCCTTTTCCATACATTTTAATTGCGACCCGAAACATATTGCTTCACACACCATCTAGCGTTGAAAAAGGTCAGCAACAATCATCGAATTATAATCGAGGGGCACGAATATAGGCATTTATTACATAAATTCAAGTTAAATTATTTTCATTATTTACATTGTGTATATTACATTAAAATTTGTCTGACGTGTCACTAATGTCATACATTTAAAACCTATATATAGGGGAAATGGATGTAATATCGGCCTAAATGTCCCTAATTTGGGCCCATACAGAAATTCAGCAATCGACAAAATGTTCAATAGCGACCAAAAATATCAATTTGTACCGTCCCAATGACGCGTTCATCTAGATAAAATTGATAAATTGCAGATTTTTAGCGATGGGCAAAAATCTTAGATCCATAGGCCAACATTAGAGCCATTTCCCATATAAAAATTAATTTTTGTCTTAATGTCCCTTATAGACTCGGAAACGACTGAACCGATTGGCGTGAAAATTTGTATACATGGTTTTTGGGGCCGGGAAATGTTCTTATGATGGAGACCCCTCCCCTCTCTGTAAGGGGTGGCTTCTATACAAATGAAACATAAATTTATTTCTGCATAACTCGAGAACTAATCAAGCAAATGGAACCAAATTTGGCATGTGGAGGTATATGGAGATGGTCATAGGTAGCCCCTTAGATAAGAGGGGAGGGGGGGGGGGCTACGTACAATATAGATTTTTTTTTAATCAGCGCATAAACTCAAGCTAATATTGAATCCGGGCACACTCAGCTAGTTACCAATAAAAGTTGATTGATTAGCATGTAGATTTATTTTATACAAGTAGATACTTAGACGTTCAGTCTGCACGACTACAACAAGAGCGAACTTTTTAATTACAAAATAGTTTTCATTCAGATCCGATGACTTTGGGATCTTCCTAACCGTTCAGAATATGGTGCTTGCAAGGTAGTTCGATGAAAAATAATAAATGATAAATTCATAAAATTATGTTTTCATGCTATGTGCTGCTTATATGCGATCACAACCATACAGGGTGTGACAATCTGTACTTCGGTCAGCGAACGTGACTTCAAGACAGGTTGTACACATGTGTGGACTTATGGCAACACCCGGCATTTGCCTTGGTCAATTTAGCAATTTTCTGTTTACCTTCGCCTCTTTGCGTGTAAAATAGTGTGACCTCCTCACCTAGGCACTTTCAAAACATTGAAAAGTTCTCAGGTCTACTCTTTATGCGGTATGTACGCCCAGACATCGTACGATTTAGCGTCCGAATCACCTGTTCGGCTGTTTCACTCACACAGACTCATCTAGTGCATCAAACATAGGCTGTTTTGCTGCTGTTCACACATCTAGCTAGTAGGCAAGATTACAATTCAAATAAACTAATCGGTAGAACTCATTTTGAGCAAAAATCAAGCTAAAAAAACCTCAATTGTAAAGGTAACAAATATAAAAACTATTATTTGTAACCGTACGTCAGAAGTCATTATAAGGTTAAAAGTTACTGCGGAAAATATCAAATATAAGGTTTAAAAATCGATTTACAGGCCTTCTTGTGAGGGCAATGCCCACAAGATGGTTGTCACTTGGTGAATCGAATTAATTTTCTTAGCTATAGGTATATAAGTACTAATAATTCTACACCAGAAACACTCCCTGATAAAACTTTGCTATTTCTTTTGGCAGGAAGAAACGATAGTTCTTATTTTAGCAGAGTACAGTAAAATTATTAGACAGATCATTGCAGACTGCCGAATTTATCGATTTTTCAGTAGAACTTCCCTTCGTGTGGATAGATTTGTAATACATACCTATGACGTTATGAATATGTTGCGCGCTGTTGTTTTCAACTACTAGGTTCAAATAAAAGTGTTTCAATGGTTTTTGTACGCAAAAAGTATAAAATTCTTAAATTTCACACTTTTCTTTTTGTTCCATTCAACTTGTGACGACAGACTGAACTTTGAACGGGACAAACGATGACAGCTGACTGACTAATCGATTCGTTTTGCGACTGTACGACGGCAAATGTGACGGAGAGATGAACACAGCTGGTCTTGAAAAGCAGCGAACGTGTTCAGTGAATCGTTTATTTTGACTGGTCAGGATGAACGTGCGATTCATGAAAAAATGTAGCAATGCCGTAGCAAGGTAGGATGCTGAACGCTGCCGAATGAATGCGATAAACTCGCGTATTATTGTCGTTAAAGCACAAATCCGAAGTTCGCTATTTGGTCGATTCTCAAGTTTAGAATTGGTTTTTGATATTAAATGTGTGCAGAACTTCTGTCTGAACTGTTTGTATTGATTTAACATGAATAATGGTCAACATAAAGTTTTGGAATTTTTGCTTTTGAATTTCGAATACTTCAACATTTATTGTTCAATTGTTGTACCGGAGAAGAAATCCCTTTCGATTTTTAACGATACAATTCTCAATCAATGAAAATTAATGAAAAAAGAAGCTTTTATCTTGCATCTTTTATTTTTTATTTTTAAAATAGCAATTTTTAGCCGAAGGCTAGTTCATCTCTATATTATCTAGCATCTGATAAGACAAACACAACAAGAAACAGTTATGTGCTCAAGTTATTAACGAAAGAGATAGTTGAGGAAGAGAATCGAGCAATTTTACTTAGGACCTAATGCAATGTTCAGCTTGAATTAATATTAAAATCTCTAGCTAATATATTTAATTTACTAGAATCAAGGAACCGATCCAGTTCTCTAAAACTTCAACAAAACGCTGGTCACAACAAAAGTTGAATTGAACTGTTTTTTTTTTTTTTTAAATATGTGTCTAGAATGCGATAAAAAGCAGCAAATTTATATCATGGAATTGATTCACATTACTGTACACACTTAATTTAGCTCGGTAAAATCTCCATCAGCCGATTACCTCGGCATTTACTTTTGCTGATATATCTGCACAGTATCTGTTTGTTGGCTGATATCTCAGCAAAATGATATTTGTTAGCTGAGTCTCGGCAATTGTTTCACTGAATCTCAGCAAAATAAATTGCAGAACTACTCGGCTGTTGGAACCTCGGCAAAAAATTTTAAGTGTGTAACTTGCCTGTTATTTATTGAAACGCAAGCTGCTTTTCTTCTGATCAAAAAGTCTTTTATAGACTAAATATTTAGAACTAAATGTGGCATGGTTGACGTCACAGTTCATTTTACGTTCTTTATTCATTTCCAAACAATTGTTTTTTTTTTTAATTTTGAAACATATATCGGTTACTGTACATCATCTGAAGGGTTTCGTTTTCTGAGCGCAACGATATAATTTTCGATACCATAGACTTCCATCTCGATTTTTAAATCAAGATTTAAAGCAAAATAATAACTTCACTGTTTAAAACTAAACTAACCCCTTTTAAAACTTCGTCCCCTTAAAAACTCCCAGTGGGTCCCAAGGGGTGCTAAGATGGTGTTTTTTTTTAATGTAATCGAATGTAATCAAATAGTTCCAGTCTACCAAAATTGATGAAATTTTGGATTTCGATTCCATTTTTAATGCAGATTTCGAATATGCATTTACCTCAGTACCGAGCTCAATACCCCTAAAGAACCCAATTAACACATTTCAATACAATTGACGCACACTCCGATGTATTGTGTTATTGGCTGCATCTAGAGCATCTCTCTCAATTTTTGCAATTCATACTTTTGTGCACAAATTCTCCACATTTGAAACATATCAAAACATTGATCGCGGGAACTATCGAGCACAGATCAAACCATTCATTTACTTTTTTCGCACATAACAAACATTTATACGTATCTACATCGACTTCAATCACAACACTAAACTTGTTGTAAGTGAAGCGAAATTTTTCAAATAATTGACAACTTTCACATCTATGTTATGTCTATGATATGTCTTCATTTCTAATTAATGATGTAATAACTATAGGTTTCTTTCAAACAATAATATTGTGCCATGTGAAAGTAACTATTAGCATTGTTGCCTTAACTTATTTGTTACTATACATCATCCGAAAAGGCTTCGTCTTCTGAGCAGAACTATATTTTTTTACGATCTCATTTACTTCGCGGTGGAGTCGACACAAATTTGACTTAAAACGAAGACAACAAATCAATTCGTCTGAGGACTGAGGATGTTATCTTTGCTATCAAATTCGTTCGAAGGATTTACCTTTGAGTGGCAGATGACGCGATTGTACCTGTCTCATAGCGTTCGCATGAAAAAATGGAAGAGTTGCCAGTCTTCTTGATTTGTTGTCTTCGCTTAAAACCAAACTCTGTCCTCGGTGAAATGTATTGCCGTAGTCGTTCAGTAAACTGAAAATTTGCCAGAATTTCGGTAAAAATACAAAAGAGATTTTTTCAGCAAAATTTCGGTGATAACAATCATTTACCAAGATTCGTCAAAGGTAATCAGTGATATAGTTTGATAAGTATAATACTGCCGAAGTCTGAAAAAGAAATTGCCTAACTCTACGGCATTCTCATTTTATTTTGCCGAAAGTACTTGAAATACAATTCAGGAACCGCTACATTATTTTTTTTTCAATCGCCAAGGATACGGAAAATTGCTGTCAGATCGAAACGAACTGTTTTCAGGTTCGTAATAAAATTGCAAGCTGCTAAAAGAAATGTAGGAAGTACATCGCCACCTGAAGTGGCGGAAGATAGTGTTAAAAATTCGGGTGGTGCAAACCCTGCGTAGGATTTTTTTAGTTTCTTTTCAGACAAATTCAAGACTATAAACAGTATGATTTGCTTCTTTTGCAAGCAGGTTCCAGGCTGCTTCCGAATGTTGATTTTCAACAAGAAACTATTGAAAAACTGGTAAATGTCCAGCATTGTCCAAAAGCGTCGAATTAACTAACAAATCCACCAATTACCTACATGCATATGCTGCTTCCCCAGCACAGTCGTCAGAGAGTAGACGAAACAAGTCGAAGTGGCATTCGCCTCCGGCCTCGGGCGCGTGCGAATAGGGAGGATGGAATTGCGTAATATTTTGCACACTCATCGCCATATTCAGAACCAAACGCAAATTCTTCAAGATAACCACCATCCGTCGTCTGGCTCGCCGTGGCGGTGTCTGACGTATCTCCGGTCTGATTTACGAGATGTGCTGAAGGTGTTCCTGAAAAATGAGATCCGTGATGCTATCACCTACACTAAACACGCCAAGCGTAAGCGGTCATGGATGTCATCTACGTTTTGAAGTGACAGAGACGCACTCTGTTTGGTTTCGGAGGGTTAAATCATCACCAACTTTGGCAACAAAACGGATCTTTTCAAGGCCACCAAGCTTATTACAGTATAGAGTAGGAATAGAATTCATCTGCCTGTTTGTCCATATTCAGAACTAACGACCACACAAAATGCTCATGTAATCAAACTGGAGGCAGGGGTACAAATTATTTTGATCAACCTTGATCAACTTTGAATCGCGACGGCCGGATATTTTCGATGGAAGAAGCAACAATCTAGCATCTAATTCGACGAAGACGGCAGGAAACATTTGTGAAGCCGAGTTATTTACGAAAGAGATTGTCGATAATCGATCAATGTAGATAGGACCTATTGAAAAGTTGTTTTCCATACTGAGCTCCAATGCTACCGACGCCAGGGAGGCAGCTCCCACACCTGGACCCTACCAATCGACCCATCAACTCAACCGGGAACCAACGGCTTTACTTCCCGAAGGAAGGCGTGATCAGAGATGTTATGCCTTAGAACATGCCGGTGGCGTCGGCTGAGATTGGACCCAGGCCTGCTGGGGTGAGAAGTAATCACGCTAATCTTTCGAGGTGATATCACGGCGAATGAGAACGACCCAAATTTAAGTTTGGTTATCTCATAAATAAGAAATAAAGTGCAGGAACTCAGCGATGAGTAAATTTGCCTCATGTTTTCCCAGGTTTTTCCAGGATTTTCCAGGGGAAAATTCCCGAATTTAAGATAAGTAAAGATTGGATTCCTCAGTCTATTGGTACTACTTCGAGACTGAATACAATTTTCGTCAATTTCCTCATTTTCTGGCAGATTTTTTAGGTTTTCCACAGGAAACCATGAGACAAATTTATTTTTAGTCGCTACTTGATAGCAAACTAATTAATTAATTTAGCTTTATTTAGGAGGCTTTCAGCCTTAGGCTGGTTCGCCTCCGATTGATAGCAAACTACTCATAATGGGAGGAGTCTTTGTAGCTTTTATTTTTATTTTTTTTTAATGCTCTCCAGAGGTGTAATTTTGTAACCAAACTTGGAAGCAGGGGTGCAAGTGATTTTGATTGATTCTCTTAATCAACTTTCTCTTTGAAAAAAAAAATTACTACAAATTTGGTACGCCTGCAATTCACAAACGGAAAGAGTTGATATAATAGATAATTGATCAATTAAAAGAACTAAATGCTCTTCACCTTTATTCCTTCCACTAGCGGTTCTACGTCAAGCTTCCGTTCGTGCCCCTAGGCACAGACCCTTCTACTTTTTTTTAAATATTAAGTGGTTGTGCCAGAGACACCGTGATAAAGTAAATACTACTCCACAAATGGTTTCCAATTATTATGATTAGAATCGTACATCATCTGGAATATTGGATGCAACCGGAATGGCTATTTGTGGCTTCGTATCACGTGCCGAGTTTCCTGATGTGGACCCGTTCAGCGATCCAAACACCAACCCATCATTTTGCCTGTAAATAGAAAATTAGTTATTATAAGTTTCACCTGCATATTATAATAAAGGCTATACACATTTTTATTGACGAATTTCCATGTGAAATTCCACATGATTTTCATGTGACTACACATAAACAGAATCCACCCAGAAGCACACATGAAATTTATGAGTCAAATACATAGTATGTGTGGTTACACATGGCTTTTATGTGTACACATATTAAGTATGTGTCCGACACATACATATCGTTTGTTGATCACATTGCAAAAATTCATGTGTGAGACACATAAAAACAATCTTTGAAATTTTATCAGTGTCGATACTATCCAGCTTTC